TTTCCCTCCTGCTGCACGCGGCAGTGCTTTATCTTGCCCTCCGCCCTGAGAGAAACAGACGAGAGTGTGTAGAGCTGCAGAGACAAGCACACAATACAACATGAGAGCGGGAGCCTGGATCTCACCGGAAGGAAATGGCGAAAGAGTTGACTTCTGTTCTCTTCCTAACGAGGAAAGCCCCGTCACGCGGGACTCTCATCAGCATGTTTTCAGCCTGACTGCGGGACAGAGACGCGTGATACCACCTGCACAGAAAACACACGTTCAGATTAGACGGGAAACACGGGAGGACAGGAACAGCACACAAACCCTGCTCCAGGCCTGCCGCTCTACCACTCACACGCTAGCTTACTTACAAAGAGAATCAATAAATAAACTACTTTTGATTTTTTTTTTTTTTTTTTTGAGGTGAAATGTGGCGTGATCTACACTTTTTTTGGCTAATGATCTTTGGCTCAGATTGATCAGTTATTGATCAATTCTTTTCTTCTCTCATGTGTGTGTGTGTGTGTGTGTGTGTGTGTGTGTGATATATATATATATATGTTAAATGCATCATTATACAGAAACGAGACAAAGCAAGATACAAACAATGGTGATAATAGTTAACTAAAACTAAAACCATTTTAAAAAATCCATTACTTGAAATAAAATAAACAATTCTCATTTTCAGTTAGTTTAATTTGATGTACTACAGTAACTAAAACTCAAATACAAATGATTAAGAACTATATAGACATATTTAAAAAAAAAACAATAACTAATTAAAATGACAGAAACACAAAACAAAATTACTAAAACGTTAACTAAAATGAAAATGGAAAATATAAAAATAAAAACTAATTCAAAATATAAAAAAAAAGCTAAAATAGTATTTCAGTGATACTAAAATAACACTGACGTAAACTTGCATATCAGAAATGAGTAGAACATATATAACAACATATATTATATATATGGTTATAATAGTTGGTTTTGGTTTTGTTAGTTAAATATAAATTCATGTTTCTGTTTTATTTGATGTCCACAGCTTCCATGTTGATAGAACAGCATTTACACTATCAACAAGAAAGCAATCCTCCATATTTAGATTATGATCTATATTAGATGTGTTACATGTAAATGTGATATTTTGAATGCCTAAATCTTGTTTTCTGGCTCAGGTGAACATTGTTTGGATCCAGAGACTCATTTGTTCGACCTGTACAACAACAACCCCGGCGGTGAGTGGATCATCAAACTGAGATCGTCCAGCAGGGGGCAGTAGAGACACACGAGAGCGCCACAGGAGACCTTTGACCCCTGAGGAGAACCAGAGTTAAAGCACTGCGCCTTGCCGTTAATGATGTTATGAAGCTGGACTTCTGCATTGAGTTTGGACTCTGTTGACGTTGTGATGTGCTGGTTTGATGCTGAAGGGCCGCTTGAGATTGTTGGATTATTTATTAAGCACCAGAGCACCGCTGTGTTTGTACGTAGATGTGATGAATGAATGTCCGAGGTGTTGTGCTGTACAGATCTGGTGCCTAGCAGTATTAAACACACAACTCAGTGTGAGTCTGGAGCATCACCGGACACTAAACACGCTCTCTCTCTCTTTTCTGTCGTTTGATCCAAATTATTACCTTCAGTACTACTTTTAAATGTTATTGTACTATATTGAAGCACTTCCAAGCCTTTTGACATCAGTTTGTCTCTCTGATAAGATTTTGTATTTCTTTGACTCTAACTTAACGGTTAAGACACATTCAGATAGTATTGTGCATCACACACACACACACACACTCATTTGTCATTCCAGCAGCTCATATAGTCATGTCAGAGTTGTGCGAGTGTTAGTGAGATCATGCTGTGTAATATTGTATAACATCCATCACACACTGTCAGTCTCATCCTACTACACAAACATACACACACACACTCACTCATACACATACACAGACACACAAACACACACTCATATTCACACACACATGCACAGAACACACACTTATACACACACAGACACACGCACAGAACACACACTCATACATGCACAGAACACACACTCATATACACACACGCACAGAACACACACTCATACACACACGCACAGAGCACACACAGACACACACAAGGGACACACACGCACAGAACACACTCGTACACACACAGACACACACGCACAGAACACACACTCATACACACACATGCACAGAGCACACACTCATACACACAGACACACACGCACAGAACACACACTCATACACACAGACACACATGCACAGAACACACACTCATACACACACAGACACACACGCATGGAACACACACTTATACATACACAGAACACACTCATACACACAGACACACACGCACAGAACACACACTCATACACACACATGTACAGAGCACACACTCATACACACACAGACACACATGCACAGAACACACACTCATGCACACAGACACATGCACAGAACACACACTCATACATGCACAGAACACACACTCATATACACACACGCACAGAACACACACTCATACACACACAGACACACGTGCACAGAACACACACGCATGGAACACACACTTATACACACACAGACACACGGACCGAACACACACTCATACACACAGACACACATGCACAGAACACACACTCATACATGCACAGAACACACACTCATACACACACGCACAGAACACACACTCATACACGCACAGAGCACACACAGACATACACACAAGGGACACACACGCACAGAACACACTCATATACACACAGACACACACACATGCACAGAGCACACACTCATACACACATGCACAGAACACACATGCACGGAACACACTCATACACACAGACACACACGCACAGAACACACACACAGACACACACGCACAGAGCACACACTCATACACAGACACACACACATGCATAGAAGACACACTCATACACACACAGACCACACACGCACAGAACACACACTTATACACAGACAGAGACGCACACACAAGAGTTTATCGTCAGCTTTGAGAACATCATGTTTTAGAGTTGTTCTGCTAATGTTCATCTGACAGTGTCATAATGAAGATGATGTGAAACTCTAATTAAAGCCACACGGCGTCTCTGCGCACTTCAGAAATATTAGTCTGATGATGAATTTTTGTTCTGAACAAAACAATCTACAAACGAGAGTTTTGCATTTCCTAAAGATGCAGAACTCTAGACAGGGAGAAACTACCTATTAACATGCATACCAAAAAAAAATGTTTCTAAGAACATTTCACTAATGTTCCCATTATGTTAGAAAACATTATGTTCTCTGAAAGCTCAAAAGTCCAGTTTTTTTAATGTTTTACAAACGTTTTTTCTTGGTTATGCGAATGTTAAGGGAACATTCCATTGTATCATTTTGCAAACATTATGGGAATGCTACTTTGTTCTCTGAACATTCTGAAACAGGTAGTTACATTTGAAAAACGTTAGTTGAACGTCCAACTAAAATGTTCCATGAACAATGTATATAATGTTTTTGTAAGAACATTGTTAAAGTCCACACAGCTTTGAAAGAGAACCTTGCCAAGATGTTCTGAGAACGTTTCGTCTCAGCTGAGACTAAAGAACCAGCACACTTTCCTCAACAACACACGATCTGAGGGATCATTCATGCTTGATTACATGACTAGGAGCTCTAGTGATGACTGACTTCACTAACTCCTGAACACACACACTCCTCGTGCTGGATATATGTGTGAGGTTCCTCCTGATCCCATCTGGACTGTTAGAGCT